TGTTTGCCACATGGATGGCTGTCCTTGCCCATTGAGGACCTTTACCATACAAGGATCCAGCTGTCACCAAGTCCAAGCCAGGTAGCTTCTAAACCCTTACAACTGTTTTCACAGAAAAGTTACTAACTTACCCCAAAGTTAGCTCCAACTGTGCCTCTAGCACTATAATTTGCAAAGAGACAAGCAAAATCCCCAAAGCAAAAGAGAAGCCCTCCACTCCACCCCACCCCATCTCCATTACATCCCTTTATATCTCTGACCTTCCTCAAGTCTGAGTCTTCATTTCTCAGCCCTTCCCATGCCTTCTAAACCCTTCCTCCCCATCTTCCCACATGAACTCAGAAGAACAGTGTAGAGGCACTAGCGACTCCCCCCTCTCGAAGTCGCCCCTGAATCCAGCACAGCCCAGCTTCTGGGCTCTCCTCAGTTAGGGCCCGGTGATTAACTCGCCAGACCCCGTGAGCACGTCTCCATCCGTGTCCCGTTAGGCCTCTCGGCAGCATTTCCTCACTGCTGACCGTACCCTTTCTGAAACTCTGCTTCCTCCCCGTCTCATCTTGGCCATTCCTTTCCTTGGCCTGCTGGGTGTAATTCCTAGCTGTTCCTTATTTATTGACAGTGTTGGCTCCCCCAAGGCCATTTCTCTTCTCAGACTATAGCGTTACCCTCTGCAGCCCTGTTCTTGATTTCAGCTCCCCCTTATGATCAAATAAGTTAAAACTGAGATTTACTGAGTGCTTCTCTGTGCCATGTACTGTACTAAACTGTACTTTCATTATTTCATTGACTGTCCTATGAGGTAAATGTCCTTTTTGTCTCTCACATTACTCATCAGAAAATGGACACTTAGGACAGTTGAATAGTTTAGTCAGTGTCATACAGCTGATGAGTGGAGGAGCCAAGACTCCTGCTGGTACTGCTGATGATCCCCAAAGTTATGTCTCCTCTTCTCAGGCTTCCCCCCCAAATTTAATCACGAATCCCTCATGTCTCAAAATTGTTAATGTCGTCTCAGTCCATGCTCTTTTATCAGCTAGTGATACCACTGTGTACACAGGTGTACAAGTTTGAAACTCAAGGTTTCCTATAATTTCCCCTCTTAGTTAACTTGCTAGCCGTTCCATGAACACGAACTATGCACGACACATTCATATCTTCGCTAATCTCATTTTTCATGCTTGGAATGCTTTTGTCTTTATTTCCAGACTGTTTCTCCAGGACTGGCTTCCCTTTTTGCTCTCCAAGGCACACATTTCCAATCATTTGTGGGCTCTCTCTCCTAGACGTCTTATAGCTATCACCAACAGGAGTCAAAAACAAATTTATCTCCTTCAACTCACACACTGGCCCTCCCTCTGTGTTTCCCATCTCAGTTAATGGGAACCATCACACCATTGACCACGTAGATGCTCAGGAGGCATCTTAGTTTCCCCTGCTTTACCATCATATCTAGTTAAGCCATCAAGTCTTACAAATTTGACTTCCAAAATCTCTCTCAATTCAGTTTCCTCCTTCCAAAATGGACTTTGGATTCTGACAGCAGTGACTACCCCAAGTGTTGTTGTGAGAATTGCATGGTATAGGGCGTGTATATTGCCTAGCAGAGTGCTTTGAATATATAGTAGGTCTTCAATCACTCATGCTGTCAGACACACACATGCGTCTAATCATATGTATTAGGCTGCACATAGCAGAGTAGTGTGAAATCAGGTTGAAAAGGTAAGTTTGTACCTGATCACGGCTGTCCTAGAAAGCTGGAATAAGACATTTGGGCTTTTATCAAGGAGGAGCCACTCTAGGTTTTCATGCGAAGGTTGGCTTAAGAGCCTGGGGTTTTGGAAGACTGATGGAGCAGCGAGACACAAGCTGGACCAAAGGTGGGAGGCCAAGCAGAAGGCTATGGCATTAGTTTTCGTAAATGCTAATGAGAACCTAAACAGGGTAGTGACAGTAGGAACAGAAATGAAGGAACAGATGGGAGAGTTGCTTTGGAAGAAATTGTGTAGGACAGTAACCATTCTGCATATCATTAAATACATGTCAAGTTAATTTTGTAACTTCATATGGCCCTAAACGTTTCCTCTCTTCAGGTATGCAGAGCCTTTATAATTTATTGGTCACCTGTTTGTATATTTTTTAAATCTTTTTTAGTTGATTTCAGAGAGAGAGAAACATCAGTTTGTTGTTCCACTTATTTATGCATTCATTGGTTGATTCTTACGTGTGCCCTGGTGGAGACTGAACCCGCAACCTTGGGTATCGGGACGATGCTCTAACCAACTGAGCTACCTGGCCAGGGCCTGTTCATATATTTTTTAATCGAGAGTTATGTCCATGAGGGAGAGTCTATAACTGTTTTCTTCTCTACTATTTCCACAACATCCATCAGAAGAGGCGTCAGTACTTACTGGGCGGGTGCCTGGACGAATGCCTCGCGGTGCCCGTTTCCAGGTGCTCTGCGCCCTTGCTCCCCACCCTCCCATCTGTCACAGCCCCGCAACTGCCTCCCTCCCGCTCGCCGCCCTAAGGAGGGTCTTAGAGACCTCTCCTCACGGATGGCCGAGCCGTCTGCATTTCGTGAGATACTCATGTGATTTTTCCCCTAATCCTGCCTTCAACTAAACTAAATTGATTCTCTCTATTAATTTTTAATGTTATCTCAAAGATATCCAATAACTTTCCAGTCATGTAAAATATTGAAAATTCAGTGCAATCCATGGAAGGCTCCAGTTTTATTTTCTTTGCTCCCCATGCCCAAGTTTAGGCTTTCCCTGGGGAAGTGGCATCTCTCATTTTTTTTATTCTAAATTCCCTGGCACTGGGCAAGAAGAAGGGATTGGGGGAAAGGCAAACATTTTTATACTTAATTAGGTTTGCTTTGCAGAGCTCTGGTGGGTATCCCCGCCACTGCTCTTTGGCCAACAGACCGCCAACAACCTCTGTGCGGCAGGTGGACACTAATTGCTCTCTCAAAGGAGTGATGTGTCACTTGGGGGTGACCTGTGGGAACCCTACTGTGCAGTTCTCTGACTCTGCCCCAACTGGATTCATCAGGACTCCCTGAGCTTGTCCCCAGTATCCACTGCTGGGGTGGTCAGTTTCTTGAGTGGCCAGGCTGTTCATTTCTACTCCAGTGAGTTCTCCTTATTTCTTTCCCTTTCTCCAGTTGTCTCCTTATGTCAACTGGGACAGCCAGGGAGTTTCTGGGGCGGGGGGGTGATTGTTCAAGTTAGCAGAGAATTGGTTCAACCACCTCTTAATAAGTCCTGGAGGATTCACTTGGCCTAGTATTTTTGTAACTTTCTACAGAGTAGGAAGGTACTTTAATACCTTTGAGCCTCTGCTTTGGGTCCTGGTCTCCAGTTTTACACATGCACAGCATCTGGTAATTTGGGAGCACCACTAAACTCCATTTTGCAAACCCTGAGTTGCTATTTACATTTGTAGCTACTGTGGAATCAACACCGAGCTAAGTGTTACACGAACAAACACTTAACGAGTCGCTGTAACGGGTTAGTCCATGTAAAAGAGATGTACCAACGTCAGGTGCAGTTCAGACTCTGCGCACATCATGAATTAATTGCGCGATAGTTTTAAAACAGAGGACATTTCAACTTCAAAATGGAAAGTGGATTGGGGGGTGAAGCACTGGCAAACAGGAAAGAAAACATAACTTTAAAATGAAGGCGTGAGGAGAATCTTAAAAATGAGAACACTGCGTAGTGGCAGAAAGCCTAACATGTTTAAGATTAAAATCTGAATCCCCGACGCCCAGGCTAATCTTTTCTCTGCTCACAAATCAGTCGTATGGATTTCCATTAATATTTATCTCCGTGGATCTGAAGGAAGGAGGGAAATCTATTTTGTGCGTTGCCCTGTTTTTCTGTCCCCATCACGAATTTCACGGGAGGAGCACATCGTGGCGATGCGGCGCCGACTGTCCTTAGTAATGGGAGCATTAGATAGACACGGCTTCGCGTGCAGAGCAGCGCGAGCCTGAGGGCGGAGTTGCCTCGAAGACCGAGCACCACAAATTCAACTCAAATGCCACCTAAAAGCCAAAGGACTGGAATAATCCGTGCAGAATCTGAGAGCCAGAAGTTTCTATTGCTGAAATTACTTTCACACTCTAATTTAAACTCAGAAACATGCTGCTGCTGTCACACTTCTTTGTTCTCCTGAAGTAAAAAAATATATATATAATAATCTGTATATAGCTGACAAAAAATAGGAACCTGTCTGCCAGCAAGGTCTCTGTTCATGTCTAACATACCGTGGACTCAAAGAAGAACAGCACGTGGCCTTGAAGCACTAAAAAGCCAGGCTTTCCGGGCTCCCCACAGTAGTGTGTTTTTCCAGCACGTTTGCACTCCCGACAATGCATGTCTTGCATACGGATGAATTCCTTTGGAGTTTAAGTCAAGTCATGCGGTATTTTCACATGCTTTGCTGCTGTGCGTAGGAGAATGGTCATCTACGTTTTGGGAGCGCAGTCCCTTGTGCCTTCGGCATTGAATTATACTGCTTGACTGGCGTCATTTTATTTTTTTTATAAGTTTTTATGGACTTCAGAGAGAGGAAGGGAGAGGGCGAGAGAGAGAAACATCAATGATGTGAGAGTCATTGATCGGCTGCCTCCTGCGCGCCCCCTGCTGGGGATGGAGCTGGCTGGGCGACTGACATCATTTTAAATTCCATCCAACAGAGTGCCAATAATGTCTATAACAGAAATTCGACATACTTAGTTCTCTCAAACATGGAGTTGATGTAGCAGCTAAATGGGAAAATTTGGGGTACATTTTTAAAAAAATGAATTCAGTGTGAAGATTATTAATGAATTAGAATTGTGCATAGAGTAGTTTGGTTTTCCTCATTTTCTAATCCAGAAAGATCTCTTTTGCTTCATATCAGATATATTTCCAAGTGGCAAGATGTAGTCTGTTTTGGGGACACAAAGTATCCGGATGAAATTAATCCTAATTTGCATTTCTTAATTGCAGATGAGACCCATTGGGCATGACGGCTACCACCCCACCTCTGTCGCCGAGTGGCTGGATTCCATTGAACTTGGTGACTACACCAAAGCCTTTCTGATTAATGGCTACACATCGATGGACCTGTTGAAAAAAATCTGGGAGGTTGAACTTATTAATGTAAGTTGGTCTCATAAAGACACCTTAGTCATTCAACTCTTGATAAAAGAAATTCTTATTATACATGGGTAATTTTTTTCTTTCTTTGTAAATGTTTGGACATCCAAGGATTTACAGATATGCCTTCTGGTTTTAAATATGCGTCTCTCTTGGCTCCAGTCAAGCTCCACAGTCACGGTCTTTTGCTGTTTTGAGGTGGGAACTAAAAGGGACTCTCAGGGTGTTTTGTATTATCTAAAAAAGCCTTGTAGGTACTTTTGGATTTTCCGTTTTAGAAAATTTTGTCAGTTTAGGTGATGGGCGTGATAACAAATAGGCTCCTATTTTGATCTTTGCTCAGATCATTGCTAAAGATGAAAGTTACCGTTCTTAGTTGTCTATTATGTTTCCTTGCCTCTACGCCTTCATTGCCTATGCAAAGCCTACACTTAAAGAGACTGCTTCTGTTCTTATTAAATAGGGTGCTGTAATATCAAAATTTTATTTCTCACAGCTTATATCTAATATTGTCTCTGCTTTATTCATACACATGGCAGAGATTTTCTATAAAAACTGGCCAACATATGTTGCCATGTATTCGCGTCCAAAGAGATCAACTGAATGTGCACAGATATTTTTGTTACTGGTACTTTTCCCACTTTATTTTTACTGCTGTTTTATTTCTAGTAGCATAGAGGAATGAAAGAGATAAAGAGATGATACATAATGATCCCATCTTTGCATTATATTTGGCATCACGAACATTTCTTCTTAAAAGTGAGATAAATCATTTAATCTTTTAGAGACTTTCTTACATGTAAGCTCTATGTCCTAATAACTGAAAAAGTACTCAGAAACTGAAAGATGAAACGGGTGATTTCTGCTGGTTCAAAAGTGCTCTGTTCTACTCTCTAAAAGTCCCGTCTCCACATAATGCGCGTCATTAATTATTTTAAATGATGGCCATTAGTAGCAACTGATTATTCTTTGCTTTTAAACGTCTGTCTTAAAAATAATACCTTTCCTAGAACATCTCAAAATAACTGTTCTTTAATCTAAAAAACACTTTAAATGGACACATTCTTGGCTCCTTCCAATTTGCAGTCTTTCACTCTTAGCTGTCGCTGCTCATCCCTCACAAAAGTGGTCCTTCTGTCAGAAGGAACTTACCGACTAAAGCCCCTGATTAAGCTTGCTCTTCGCCTGTGGCGGCGGGACTAGCTGAAACCGGGCCGCTGTTTGGTGGCATCAAGCAGATCTCAGTTCTCCACTGGGAACTCGATACTCATCTCACGGCTGCTCTTAGCCACTTTTTACAGGGGGGCCTTCCATAGATCAAACAAGCATGCTTCCAATTAAGTTGCAGTCTAGCCAACAATGTAAGCGACAAATATCTCTACGTAACATCGTCTGAATAATGTTGCTCCCCGCTGGAGAACAGACATCATAGATGGTGCGTGAGCCACTCACCTGACGGGCGTGAGCCCCAATCCCTCACTGAAAAGGGTGGACCAGGAGAACTGTACTATAAAATGTTTGAAGCAAGTGTCACCGAAACGAGACGATATTATCTCAAGATCCAAATGCTGAGGCTCGTATTTGGACCCACGCCTTCCCCAGCAGCCTGGAGATCCCTGTTCAGCCCCCGTGGCTGGGCCCCAGCAGCCTGGAGATCCCTGTTCAGTCCCCATGGCCGGGCCCCAGCAGCCTGGAGATCCCTGTTCAGTCCCCGTGGCTGGGCCCCAGCAGCCTGGAGATCCCCGTTCAGTCCCCGTGGCCGGGCCCCAGCAGCCTAGAGATCCCTGTTCAGTCCCCGTGGCTGGGCCCCAGCAGCCTGGAGATCCCTGTTCAGTCCCCGTGGCCGGGCCTTGAGGACATTTGCACTGACAGCAGGTCAGTGGTGCCAGAAGGTTTACTGCCAGGGCTCAGGGGCTGATCCATCACTGCCGCCCACGGGGCCGGCCAGCCCTGAGTTGGGACGGAAGGACAGCCTCTCGCACCCGTGCTGGCTCTTGAAGGGTTTTCCCTTTAGCCGCATTTGCTGTAGCGCAATCTGACTTCGGCCTGCGGGGCAGAAGCGCCCGTCCCGAGCATTGTGTCACAACTGGAAAACATGATCGCTGTGTTTGACACCTAGCAGCCGAATCCCTCAGCCTGGAGAACATCTGCCTCTAACACCAACCTTTCTCTTTATTTAGTTTAGTTTCATTCATTGTCCTTAAAATAAGCTGGTAAAATGTGGAGTTCCCACCCAGCCGGGCGTGGCTCAGCGGTTAAGCATCGACCTAGGATCCAGGCGATCAGGGTTCGATTCCCGGTCAGGGCACATGCCCGGGTTGCAGGCTGCAGCTGATCAATGACTCTCTCATCGTTGATGTTTCTGTCTCTCTCTCCCTCTCCTTTCCTCTCTCTGAAATCAATAAAGATATATTTAAAAAAAAAAAAAAGTGGAGTTCCCTGCGACACCTGGGCAAGGTCACACCCTTGATGAAGTGGCTTTGCAAGTCCTGTAACTCAGCAGGTATATCGATGATGGACAAAAACTGATCCTCACCTTCTTACTCGGAAATCAGAGAACAAAATGTTTGTGTCCATGAGCGCAGCTGGAAGTTATCCATTGGATGGGTTAGGGTTGCTGGGGTTTTTCAATGAAAGATGGACACGGTATGTACATGCCTTCTGGCTTACGGAGCTTTTGACTGGTCTCAGAGTCAAGACGTTTATTTATCCCAACTAGTTGGGGAAGGTGTCCAACTATAAGATAACGTCCGATGTAAGACATGGGCCCAGTAATTCTGTATTAAGTCCCCATAATTTTTTGTTTTCTAGCCTGAAGGGGACGTACAGTCACCCTGAGCTAGAACAAAGCTAATTAGGGAAATTCACCTCCTGAATCTTGGTGATGACTGGCTAGTTTTAAGGAACCGAAATGGCTCCGGTGACTGTTGTTATTGTAAACTGAAGAGGGAAGAGCGAGTGTAGCCTGGCTTCGGTGCAGAGGTCTGGGGGTGGAGGGGCAGAGAGCGGAGGGCCAGGAGCCTGGCTGCTGACACGATTGCAGGTAACGTCAGCATCACTCCACAGTATCGATTAAGGCTCCACTTTCACATTGTGCTACACTTGATATTAGACGAATGATACGGTCTCAGTGAGCATAATAAGCTTATTCAAACTATTTTTATGATGAAACAAAAACTGTACGAAGTTGTGACTTAAAGGCACAAATACGTTTGAAATTGTAATCTTTCAAAATTATCCAAAGATCATTTTCTTGGCGGAGTACATTATGAAATTTGAAAAGCAAGGTTATTTCAGTAACCTGATTAGAGTTTTGGTTACAAAGCTACCCAAGTTTTAGGGGGTCCTAGGGAGAGAAGTAGGCATCTCACATCTTGATGCCAATATTGTCAGCAGGGGAAGTAAAGCATAGAAAAACGGTTACGACATCAGGAATTGCCAATTTCACAGGCCCGTGATGTATATGCCAATAATTGTTCCATATATTCCCTAATCCATGCTTTATATTCAGAAACTGATGTTTTTATCAGTATCTCTGTTTTCGCCCTGTGTCTGCCACTACCATTATTAACACCATTAATATCGCTTTTGCATTGATATTTTAGTGTTAAAATATTAATATGTTGGGAGAACTTGTCAGGCAGATTGTTCCCTTTGCAGATGCTGGGTGAATGCACCTCGAGCTTGAATTACAGTCGTCGGCAAAGGCTTGCTAAGAGGATTAAGGACAAGTTAACAGTGTAAGAACAACAGTGTTTTTAAATCAGAAGGTTTGTCAGGCCTTGCCTATGGTATTACCAAGTTTGCACGGCAGTTTCTACTGCTGTTGACAACCTCAACAGCCCTGCAAGGGGGGAAATTTTAGATAAAAGGGTTCCATATTTCCTGCATGATATATGTATGGATAATTATTAAATCTCCATGAAATTATCTATTTTCTAGATGAAAAACATCCTGCACTTATGAAAAACAGTGTTAATTTATTTTACCACTGTGTACCTACTAAGGGAATTTTGGTAAGACCAAATAAATTTGAACACAGTGTAGAACATATCATTAATTTCTTCCCAGTGGATTTACTAAGGAAATAATTCTAGCTTAGGCTTATGATAGCCTATGGCATTGATCATGATAAATGTACACACTGAATGAACAGAATAAAATTCAGGTCTCACTGCATTCTTAAATCTCTGCTCATAAGTACACAAATAGCTTTAAAAATTTAACTGCAGTGATTGGTTGTGTTTTAAATACCTTTGGGTAGAAACAAATAAAATAACCATGGCAGTAATATCCATGTGTCCCATGAAAATCATTTGGACGATTTTGCAACAGTAAATTGATTAAAAGAGCATCTGCTTCTTGCCTAGTGGCGGCTGAAACTGTATTCGCAGCACCCTTTTGTTTAGGTTTCTTTTTTTTTTTCCCCTTGTGCAGTGTTGTTGATTTAATTTCTACCTTTCCAGAGGAAATATTGTGATAATCTAATCACTTGGAGATGTGCTGAGACATTTTCAAAGGAAACATTCTAATTTTAATTTTGTGTTAAGTCTGTAATTGTGTGACTGTATTTGCTTAAATGCTGTAGAAATATAGTCCTATCAGTATCGAATTTAGGGTCATTACTTGCTTTGATGTTTTTACCTTATGATCATCATTATAAGCTCACATTCCTATCTACTCTACCCTCATTGCTATAAAGGCAATAAAATTTACTCCCCAAAAGTCTTTTTTGCATTGTGTGTGTGTGCATGNAGGCAATAAAATTTACTCCCCAAAAGTCTTTTTTGCATTGTGTGTGTGTGTGCATATGTCTGTCTGTCTGTCTGTCTCTGTGTGCGTGCATATTGGAAAAAGGCAAATGGAAATCTAAACTCCCAACTAAGGGCAATCCACAGATCCACAAATTGCTGGGGGAGAGTGGTGGGATGAATAATTCCATCTCCAAATCAATTATTTTAAGTAAAAGGTTATGCCTTCACTATAGGACATTAATAAATGAG